AAGAACCTTTTGAGCCTAATTTTTCAGTAAGCACCATTTATATATGAACATGTTGAGGCTAACTTGGAAAAATCTATGTTCTTATACGCGGGTTTTGACTGTATTACAGAATCCGCTTTTAGGCGAACAGGTGAGGGCTTTTTTTGGTGAGACGAAAAATTCGCTTTTAGCCGAACAGCTGAGGTTACTGGCTATGACAGAATGGGGTTTCTAGCCATGAGTGTGTGAGGAGGTCACAGGCAATAATAAAGTCGGATTTCAGTCGCTCAACTGAGGTTACCGGCTATGATAAAATAAACTTTCAGACAAACAGGAAAAGCACTTTAGCTGTAACGTCGTCGATGTGTTTTGCTTTTCATTGCTGATCTAAAGGTAGGGGCACACGAGCGATTTTTATCGCCCGATCGCCGCGAATTTTAACATCGCTCGAAAAATTTGCCCGTGTGCCCATTCACGTCGACGCCGATTTTAATCGCCCGCACGAATCGCCCGTATCCAAAATGTTAGATATTTTCGGGCGATTATTTACGCCGGCGATTATTTACGCTGGCAAATTCGCTCGTGTGCCCGTGTCCGGCGTATTTTGTCGCCCGATCGATTTTTCTAAACCAATCGGACGTGTTGTTGATATCATGTGATGTTAAAATCGGGCGATTAAATTCGCTACGTGTGCCCCTTCTTGATCGGGCGATTAAATTTGCTGGCGATTTTAATCGCCGCGATCGGGCGATAAAATACGCTCGTGTGCCCCTAGCATAAGGATTGCCTGTCACACGCGACGCCTTTGGCCCAGAGTACATATAGCCAGTATGTATAAATTATACCCCCTATTAATTTATACCTATTTGCATAAACCTGCTCATACTCAGTCTTCGATGTAAACGCACTAGCAGCAGTGGCTTGCTGCAAGAATTTTGTTTTACCTTTACTTAAGGGGGGCTTATGTCGGGCTTGCGAGCCGACTCGACTGGAAGCAACTGGCTGCAATTAACCGCGACTGCAGTGCTTAGGTCGGTCGACTGCGACGCGACTGCCTGCGACTGGCCGCCACTAGTTGCTCGGAATAGAACAGTGCCGCACACTGGACGCAACTTTCTTTTACAGAATGCTGCCGATAGCTTTCAGTGCCTCGATCCAGTTGTTTCCACGATCAGTAGCTTGCAAGTTCGACATCAAGCCCCCTTCTAGTCTCCCACCCCCCCCCCCCCCACCGCACACTGTTGCATTAACATTGCTAAGCATGTAATGCTTCTGCTTGTAGTGGAGCTCAAGCGGAAATATGCCGGCCTGCGAACCATCAAGGCCTATCTAGCTGGCAAGGGAGAGAAGCACCGCGTCGTGTGCCTGATTCCGACGTCAGCCCATGGCACAAACCCGGCTAGTGCACAAATGGCCGGTCTGAAAATCGAGGATATCAACATAGTCAAGTAAGTTGCTGTAGTAGTGGTAGTGGTGGTGTGTAGGATGGTGGCAGAGACGGCAGAAGCAGCAGCAGGGCAATGTGTGTTGTATATATATATATATATATATATATATATATAAATAAATACATATACTACTGCTACTATATATATTTATATGTGTATGTGCGCGTGCGTGCGTGCGTGCGTGCGTGCATGCGTGCGTGCGTGCATGTGTATGTTCATAGTAGTATGACCACATAAAAACTGACACCATTACAGAGGACTTCTAATTACTGATCTTTGGTGATAGTGTTTTAACTTGAAGCATATAATAGCTTTCTTCAGTCAAAATGCATATCGTCACATGTACAGCTGTTAGACAAATACTTGGCCATTATTTTATTTTATGCTGGTGCATAAATTTGTGATGTTGACATGAGTTGCATTGTGTGCAGAGTGCATCCTCTGTTCCTTCAGATCAGGAGAAATAGACATGAAGCATTTCCACGAGAAGGTAAAGAAATTTCGAGACATCCTAGCCTGCATCATGATCACATATCCTTCCACCAATGGACTGTATGAGGAAGGCATCAGGTGTGATAGTGCAAAGGCAACATCCTTAAAAGGATCATCTCACAAATAAATCGACAAATTAATAAATTTAGACAAATTTAATCTCACCTGTCATCGTACATATTACTGGTTACTTTAGCATAAAAATTATTGCAAGTTTATGCAGTTATGGGCTATAAAACGGTAAATGAACAGCAAACGTGCACCTGCCATCTTGAGATTTGCAGTAATTGAATTTTAAAACGCTACCACAAAACAAGTGCACGTAGTTACGTGACACAAATATTTATAGAATGGTACCTATCTCGAAATGTATACCAAGGTAATTAACTTAGTGTAAAGACAGGGATCCAGCCAATGTTATTTTGCGAGAGCAAAAATCATGTGCTAGTTTTGTTGACATATGTAAACAAATCTGATTTTAAATGCAGATTGGTGCACATATTGGTCAAAAGAACGGATGTGCAAATGTTCTCTGACATGTTAGCCTTACTATATACACTTAGTGTTAAGCAGGGAGTACCTGGCACGACTCCATCTTTGCCTGAAGAGATTCTTGCTACTGCACCTGTATTGTCAACATACAAGTTTTGAACGTAAATCTTTTAACTTTAAACATTTGAGTGTTTTACTGATTTTCATCGACTTATTACTTTTACTACTTATTTTTATGGGGGCAGCCCTATAGACCGAAGGTCCGATAGACCGAATGTTGCAAAGGGTTAGGGTTAGAGTTAGGGTTAGGGTTAGGGCATATATATGGTTTATAGTGGCATCATATGATTTATAGTGGCATCATATGATTTATAGTGGCATCGGTGGATGTGCGGCATATTCACGTTTGAATACGGCATCAGTGGATGTCTGGATGCGTAGCCTGGAGGCTAGGCGACCGATTCCGGACGTGTAGCCACTGCGTATTCGAATAAACCTTCGGTCTATCGGACCTTCGGTCTATAGGACTCTAACCATTTTTATTCAACAGTGCAAAAGGTTTCTCTCGTAGTTTATGATAGTGCCACTCCTTGTCGTTAGCTTTCGTAATAACCTTCCCTGTGAAACTGTCATTTGTTTAACAGTTTGTCTGTATGACTTAGGGAGATCTGCGATACAATACATGAAGCTGGCGGTCAAGTGTACTTAGATGGGGCTAACATGAATGCTCAGGTATGTGTCACTACTGTTGTCACAACTAGTGTTATACCCACTCTCTTGTATCCTTATCGTATATATCAGCAGTGGTATATTAATCGTCTAGTATTAGCCTTCTGTGAGCCAGTTTCTCTGTGTCACTTCTTCATACAACTGGGATTTGCTGTCATAGATGGACTGTGCAATCATTGTAGGTCGGACTGTGCAGGCCAGGTGATTATGGCTCGGATGTCTCGCACCTGAACCTACACAAAACCTTCTGCATACCCCATGGAGGTGGTGGTCCTGGAATGGGCCCTATTGGAGTGTAAGTACACGGTGTTTACCATCCTAGGTTGTGCAGTGTGGATGTGTGAGAATATGGAGGTGACGATACCGTTTAGAGTGCTATATGTTTGAGGGCTGAGTAGCTCATACCGTGTCTAACGTCGTGGTGTTAGCTACTGTTCGTCTGTATTGTTGTGTTCGTTACTATGTTTACTTGTATTTTCTGTTCAGGAAGAAGCATTTGGCTCCCTACCTGCCGACCCACCCTGTGATCGATCCTCTCCACTCTGAGCTCGACCCTCGATCATTCGGTGTCATCAGTGGCGCCCCCTACGGCTCTGGTTCGATTTTGCCAATTACCTGGGCCTACATTAGGATGATGAGCGGTAAAGGTGAGAAGTCATAGAATCCTTATGATTGTGATGCTGTTATTAGTGATGCCAATGAGTTACTTTTACATAACGCATTATTTGGTATAGCAATGACGTAATGGGTGTAAATAAGGGTAATTTCACGTGTGATGTACTGGATTTAAAAAAAACACTTGTTGCTTGGACACTCATCGGTCATTACCTGCAGGTTTGCGAGAGGCAACGGAGGTGGCAATTCTGAATGCCAACTACATGATGAAGAGGCTAAAGGATCATTACAAGATAATGTTCATAGGAACTAATGGCTTCTGTGCGCATGAGTTCATCATCGACGTAAGAGATATGAAAAAGACGGCTGGACTAGAGGCAGTTGATGTAGCCAAACGCATGCAGGATTATGGTAAGCACAGCAGAACTGACTGTAACACACAGCAGGGCTTTAATATTCATATAATGCCATGCTCAGAATATTACTTGCTAGGCAATATAACTGTGTAATTGTAGTAGGATTGATCAGTGAAGCAGGGTACCCCGGTAGAAGAACAGACTGTGGTAAGCACATAGGGAAATCATCAGGACCATCGCTGCCAAGCAATAGTTGATCCATCTCGTTGCTGGCTCAAAGCTGCTTGGCTTACCCCAGTAATGTTTAACGATTAATTTTTACAGGGTTTCATGCTCCAACTGTATCGTTTCCTGTGATGAATGGACTTATGGTTGAACCTACTGAGTCTGAGGATCGTGAGGAACTGGACAGATTCTGTGATGCCCTAATATGTATGTAGTGTCTGATGAATTTTGGTTAATCTCGTTTTCTAGTTGATAAAGTTTTTAACTTACTGTGTGAGTGACTGTCAAATATGTTTTCGTCTGGAGAGCAAAGCAAATTTAAAATTATGTTTATTTTTGTTTTTTAGTAAATCGCGGATTTTCTTTTAATTGGCATTTTTTGGCAGGCATTCGTCAGGAAATTAGAGATATTGAAGAAGGCAAAAGTGACATCAGAGTCAACCCAGTGAAGGTAACACCATGTCGCGCTATTGTAAACTGTATTTTGGCATGTTGTTTCGTCATCAAATACTGTCAGCTGTTTTATATGTAAATATTTGTTTCAATGCATTAATATCTTAAAACATGATAGTGTTATGATCGTATGCAGAAGCGTAGTTGAAATTCTAATTTTAATGTAGGGCTATTTCTACCAACAGATGGCGCCACATCCACAGCGGGTAGTAATGAACAGTAATTGGGACATGCCGTATAGTCGAGAGGTAGCTGCATATCCTATGCCACACTTGTACATGAACAAGTTCTGGCCACCGGTTGGGAGAACAGATGAAATATACGGGGACAAGAATCTTCAGTGCACTGCTGCTCCGATGGAGGTGTACAAGTCCCCGTACATTAATGACCAGCCCTGAATCACTTTCTGTGTTTTGATGGAGAAGGGTATGCGGATACGAATTTACAATGGATTGAGGCTTATTGCGGGTTCCCTCCCCATTCAGTGTAAACACGAAGAAAGTCTGTTAAATGTCTGAGAAATAGTTAGGCATATGCATTATATAGTGTGCATTTATGTTTAGATGTGAAAACCATTTTGATGGTGGTTCGAAATGAAATATTACAAGGTGCTTTCGTATCATCTAGCATGTTATGTGTTTTCGCATGTATGCATAACATGACTTGCCACTGATGAAATTTGTACTACCCAGTTACCAGGAGCTTAGATAGACTTGGGACGTTATTGGTTATTGCTATTACTAATCAAATATACTCTACCCTGTGACTACATTTAGCTGTGGGCATATGTAGAAATAGGGTATGTATGACATTGTTTGAAATATGAGAAGTATATGTCTACACATTGATAATATACATTGTTCTTACTAATATGTAAATACTTAATATATTATAAGGAGGTCCTTACAAAAGTCTAACAAGTAACTAGCAATTGACATAATGTAAGGCAGTCCTAATTTAATACTTCTCTTCAAGCAATAATATAGATATTTGTTATAAGATATTACTGTGTGTTATAGACTATTACTATTACCTGTATGCTGGTTATAGTGTACTGTCACGTTTTTCTTATCTTTGTTAAGAGTTTTTAGAGGTTTATTGGAAAATATATGAAATACTGAAAATAAAATGTCATGTGGGAAGGATATTAGTTAGGCATTTAGTGGGGCAGCCTCTAACTTCAGCTCTATTTTGAGCTCACCTTGACATTGTCAAGATGAGCTATTGCCATGGGTCGTCGTACGTCCGTCTGTCCGTCCGTCCGTCCGTCAGTCTTTCCGGCAACATTTGGCTATGGTCAACGATAACCCAAGAACCGTTTGACCCACATGTTTGAAATTGGGTATAGTTGTTACTGCTATGCTCCCATATTGAACGTCCTATTTTGGAGCACGCCAGTCGACGTACTTTCGAGCCACGGCAATTTTTTGGCAAAAATAGGAATTGCTATTAGTCGGTTCAGGCTCAACGGATTTTGCTCATTTTTGGTATGTGAATAAATAAGGGCCAGGGGTTTTGATATTTAAAAAAAGAATTATGCAAATTAGGTAGGTTTTGGCAATTATATAGCATATTATGTTATAGACACGCAGATAACAGTCTCTGGTGTCACACTCGTCTGGTTCGTTTTACAAGATTTCATTGACAATATCTTTAATGCAAAATTGGTATTTCCTCTTCCCCCTGCCGATAAAACGTCTATATTAGAGTAAAGTTTTACAAAACATGTCGGAACGCAGCATGACCTATTTATTTCGAACGCCGTCGCAAAGAAACATCAAAGCGGGTATAGCGCCATCTACCGTCACAAATTGTGATTCATTTTGGTTTATAAATTATTATTGCGATATACAGATGGCAACCGTGTGCAACCTAGAAAAACTCATATGAAGTAAACACTTCCATGCAACCAATTGACCTTTGACAAAAGTTGTGTTATGGCAGGGAAACACTATTTTCACGTGGTATATAGCAGTTACTTGGAATAAGCGTATCCTCTCAATCTTACACGTTACACATCGGGAGCTCTGCTTTTAGGCAGTGCCTAAATCTGAATATTATAAAAACGTTAAATGGCGATCATTTAGGTGTAACGCCATCACTCACCCACATCTCAGACTTTCACATCTCAAACATTTATTTTCACATGAAAAATTACACATATTATATGTGTGATTAATGAGTGCCATTTAACGTTTTTTATAATATTCAGATTTAGGCACTGCCTAAAAGCAGAGCTCCCGATGTGTAACGTGTAAGATTGAGAGGATACGCTTATTCCACG